TGAATAACTAACTCCATTCTAGCTTTGCAAACTAGTTGTTATCCAAATCTGAACTCTGGATTAAACCAGGTAAAACTACTGAGGTGCGTGCAAGTTACCACTTCAAAAAATAGTATGCCTTTTGTCAGATGGTGGACTGTCTTGCAATCAGAAATCTCACACTTAGGGTCTACTCAGGCAGCTCTATTTTGAAGTTGCAACAAGCTTGTGAAACAGTGTCTCAGTGCTATCACCAATGCAACTATCAGTGGTCAACTGGTCAGTATTTCTCATTATGTTCCAGGTTATGTAATTCTATGCTGCTGCCATTGTTAGTTTACTTCAAAACCTACAAAGCAGGAAAAAAAGAGGTTCTACTCTATTTCAGTTTTATTAATAATAAAGAAGGAGTTTTATATGAACTTAGGAACAGTAGTAGGCCATTAACACCCCAGACTGGTTCTGCCATTCGAGAACATGGCCTATCATCTACTTCAACACCTTTTTCCCATGTTATCGCCATATCCCTTGATGTTAATAGTACCTTGAAATTTTCAATTTGTGTCTGGAACATATTCAAAGACAAAGCTTCCACAGTTCTCCAGGGTACAGAATACCATTTTTCAAGTGAAGAAACACCTCCTCAACTCAGCCTTACACAGCTTGTCCCTAATTCTGAGATTATATCCCTTGCTTCTAGTCCCCACAACTACAGCAATCATCTTTTCTTCATCTAACCTGTCTATCTATCTCTTTAAGAATATCATAAGTTGTAATGAGATTCACCCCTGTGCTCATTCTTAGAAAATCTGGGGACCACAGGTCCAATGTCCTCAATCTCTCCTCAGTGGAGAGTTTTGCCATCCCAGGATTCAAATTGGTGAATCTCTGCTGCACCCCCTCAATGGCAAGTATAGCCTTCCTGAGGAAAGGGGACGAAATCTGCACTCATATTCCCAGTATGGTCTCACTAGTATTCTGTACAATTAAAGTAAGAAATTTTTACTCCTGCATTCAAATCTTCTTGCGATAAAGACCAACATATCATTTGCCTTCCTCATTGTTGGCTGCACCTGCATGTTAGCTTACAGTGCTTAGTACATCACCACTTCCCACTACTAAATATGTCACACTTTGTTCCTCCTAGCAAAGTGGACAATGTCATATTTATCCCTATAAGACCCTATCTGCCATATCTTGCCCACTCACTCAGTATCTCCAAATCTCATGAAGCCTCTTTGCATCTTCCTCACAACTCACATCACCATCTGCTTTTGTCCCATCCACAAACTATGTTCGGTCCCCAAACGTAGACTGTGAACAACTTGGAGCCCAAGCACTGATCCTTGTTGAACCAAGTAGTCATGGCCCAACCTAAGAATGACCCATTTTTTTTTCTGTTAACCAATCCTCAAAGCATATATTACCTCCTGTCCCATATGCTCTAGTTTTATTTACTAACCTTTTGCATGGGATCTCATGAAACTCCATATACACCTCATCCATTGGTTCACCACAGAGTGTAGGAGTCACTGTTTTAAAATTATGGGTCACCCTTTTAGGACAGATCAGGAAATTTATGATTCCTCTTTGAGGGTTGTGCAGCTTTGGAACTCGGCCTCAGAAAGTTGTGGAAGAGTGATCATCGAACATTTGTAAGTCAGAAGTAGATAGGTTGTTGTTAGGCAAGGGAATCAACAGTTATCGGGAATTAGATTGGATTTTATTGAATGGAAGAGCAGACTTGAGGGGTTGTATGGTCTACCTCTGCCATTATTTTCTATATTCATATGATCACCCTTATCTACTCTGCTAGTAGTATCCACAATAAAACTTCCATCAAGTTTGTCAAGCTTGATTTCCTGTTCACAAATCCGTGTTTGCTCTTCCTAATCAGATCTTTATTTTCTAAATGTCCAGTTATCATATCCTTTAGTGGATTCTATAATTTTCCTACAACTGACATCAGCTAATAGGTCAGTGGTCCTTTCTTTTCTCTCTGTGTTCTTTCCTAAACAGTGGAGTTACATTTATAACCTCCCAATCTGAAGGCACCACTCCAGCTTCAATGGAAACTTGAGAGATGATCACCAATGCATCCACAATCTAAATGGCCACCTCTTTCAATTGTTTGGGATGTATATTATTAGAGTTTAGAGATTTGTCATTTTGTGGTCCCATTCATTTCACCAATACTACTTTTCTGGAAAAAAAATACTTATTTCTGTCAGTTCCTCATTCTCACTAATGCCTTGGATCTTATTATTTCTGGGGGATTTCTTGTCTCTTCCTTTGTGAAGACAGACACAAAGCTATTTTTGACAAATTTTCCTGAAACTGCCTGTAACGGACCCACATTTGTCTTTGTTTTTCTTCCTTTTTAGGTATTAGAGCACATTTTTATGCTTCTTGCTAGTTTACATTTATATTTACATTCTATTTTCCCTTTTTTTGGTCTGAATTTTAAAATGCTCCCAAATCCCCAGGGATACCAAGACAAAAGCAATACACTGCAGACCTTGGAAATAGGAAATAAAAACATAAAATGCTGGAGATACTAGGCAGGTATGGTAGCCTCCGTGGAGCAACAGAAAGAGAGTTAACATTGAGTCTAATAGGAGTTCCAAAGAAGAGTCATATTAGACTTGAAGCGCAACTCTGTTTATCATTCCATAGATTTTACCAGATATGCTGAGCATCTCCAACACTCCCTGCTTTCTAATAAATTTATAAGCCTTCTCCCTTGGTCTAGCACAATCCTTAACTTCCTTTATTAGTCACAGTTGATTCATTTCCATGTTAGATTTTTGCACCTTAATGGAATGTACATTCATTGCAAACCATGTCTTAATTCTTTAAGTAGTAGCCATCAACTGTCTATCATCATGTCTTTTCATGTATTTTCCCAATCTACCACAAGCAACTTTCCCCTCCTACCTTCAGTTTCCTTTGTTTAGGTTGAAGGCAATGGTTTTTAAAAATTAAAGGAAAATTCACGTATATTTTGGTCAATCTTCCCTAAAAAAAATTAATCTACAAGGCTATGAATCAATACTTTCTCATTGCATGACTCTAAACCTAAAATAACACGTGTTTATTCCCTGAGGTAGCCAAAGCCTGTTTTTACCACTCACGGATTTACCTATTTTTCAGGTTTAATTCCCAGTGTAACAATTTAGAGTGATAGAGGAATATTGGGTTCCAAAAAAGAGTGAGAAAATCAATTTAGAATAAAACATTTTGAACATTGTTAAAACTCAAAAGTATACAATGAGGAGTATACTTTTCAAATGCTTGAAAAGTATACTCCTAATCCTGAGATGGTGGGGTTAAAATGTCTTGGGTGAGAATATAAAATAGATGGCATCATAGTGTTGCCTGTTATTAAGTTTCATTCACATAAAGTGGATCTTAAAACAGGCTGCCAACATGATAACCTTCAATTAGAGCGACAATTCAACATGATTTTTAATCCCAGTTTATGAAAAATCTAACTTTATTACTATGGTACCAAGCGCTTATTGTAACATGAAGGTAGGATAACGAAAGAGGTTATGTGCAGGAGAAAGTTATGATCCTGCTCTTTGTACGTAATGCCTCGCTATGTGACTTAAACCAGCCTCGGATTGATCATGTCAGATTTTAGGGAACTATCTGTTTGGTAATTCTCGCATTGCATGATTCTAAACCTAAAATAACACGTGTTTATTCCCTGAGGTAGCCAAAGCCCGTTTTTACCACTCACGGATTTACGAGAGTATCATGGCTTCATAACAAACAAAGAATGAATGAATGCCAATTGCTGTCGTACAAAGAATTTTGCCCTCGCTGTAGAATCTAAAGATGATCCAGATTACAGAACATTTGCTCCTTTACCTGCTGACAATTAGCTTCAGAGATGCACACTCACTGCCTCAATGGCCACGTTTATCACTTAAAATACATCTTATAATGCAGATCATGCTTATTTCCAGATGTAATAATTTGTTTAGAAAAGGACTTTTTTTGCTGCATTCTCAGCCAGGAGCAAAAGAATAGAAGCTGCAAATTTTTGAGTATCACACACTCTAAGAAAGTATCTCCAAGGCAGTGCCGAATCTCAGGGTTAAGGTGACAGTGATAAACTGCTCAAGTTTTGGTCCAGCAGTTTGTGACAAATGTATGCTATCAGTGGGAGGCCTGGACTACTGGCCAGACATATTCAGAAACCATGGGCGTACTGCCCACGATCTGCAATCTGCTAAAATTCATGGTTGAAAAATTGTGCACAATGTGACTTGCAATGTGGATAGTCAGTGGTCCACGGTGTGCATGGATTTGTTTTCATTCATAAAATCTGGTTTATGAATGCCGACTCTTCTTTTCAATCTGCTCCAGGCTGTGTGCTTTAATCCGTTTGACATGTCATTATAATAGCTCATAATTCCATAAACACGATTTCTATTATCACAACTGCTTATCCTTGGATCAGAGTTTCAAAACAGCAAACTCTTGGCCAGTTCTACATAAGCCAATTATAAGAGACTTCAATAAATGCCATTTATTTCTTTCTTTGTTCAAATTGCTCTTCATACAACCAACTTGAATTTAAATCTATGCCTGAATTTATGCTGAGGTTTGAAACAATTAGCCAGTGGTTCTCAGTTTAAATTGCTCCATTGTTCCACACATTTGCAACAAGCCTCAAATTCTTTACAAATATCTTTGCATATATTGTGTAATGGTCATTGCTTTGCCAGTAGATTTTTAGTTAATTCCCTTGTTAACAACTGCCAACACTTTTGGCCAAATTTGCAAGATTCCACTGGCCTTGTGGAGCTTAACCAACAGCGAGTGAGAAATGAGGCTTCCACGTAGAGGAGAAAGTTCTGCCCAGTAATATATACATATATATTTTATAAAATAAGAGTTTCAAAACACTCAGGTGGAACTCGCTGTTGTCATCTGGATTTTGAGATAAATGGATGTGGTGAACAAAAGAATGAGCCAATAAATGAAGTGGTGCTTGCTGATTGTCATACCTGTCACTGTAAGCTGCGGCAGCAGCGGCAGCAGGCTGGGCATATCTGTATGCAGCATAGCCTCCCTGGAACAGAAAGAAGAGCTTCATTATAGACGGGGTAGAGTAGATTAATACTGTGGCAAATGATGCTTCGTCTGTAAAACGGAGGCAATGAAACGGTCAGAGAGGTAGAGGCTCTGCCATCAGTCAGAACTGGAGATGCAGTCAAACCACGAGCAGAGCAGACTGGTGCCACCCGGACCTGAGGCTCAATTAAAGTGACCGGAAAGAATTGCTGATAACAAGGTGTAGAGCTGGATGAACACAGCAGGCCAAGCAGCATCAGAGGAGCAGGAAGGCTTTTTTTTTCTGAAGAAGGGTCTAGGCCCGAAACGTCAGCCTTCCTGCTCCTCTGATGCTGCTTGGCCTGCTGTGTTCATCCAGCTCTACACCTTGTTATCTCAGATTCTCCAGCATCTGCAGTTCCTACTATCTCTGGAAAGAATTGCTGTAGTGTTTAGGTTGTACTACTTTACACCAGTTTGTTGGGTCATTCTGCTGCTAAGCATTTGCCCAGGAAAAATTCCCGTGGAGAGAATTCTTTTTAAGTTGGTGCAAAATACAAAGACGGTATGTAAGTTCAGGCGGAGACTGAGATACCTGTACAGTTGTATCCTGATATAAACTGCTGCTGTTGATAATTGACTGTCTCCTTTTCGCAGGTGACGGAGTAGCCGTGAAAACAACAGGCACTTTAGAAAGCAAACAAAGTTAATCCTTTGCCTGTAAGACGCTAAACCCGCTCACTTGAATTATGTAGGCTCTTGAGGATTAAAAACCGTGTAAACACAGAATTAGAAATCAAGTGCCAAAGGATAACTTCTTCTGTCAATTTCGTCGCACTTTTCTAATAATTATGCATTTTTCTGGGGACAGTTTGGTTTGTTGGACGAAATATTGGCTTTCTGAATCTTTTTAGAAGTGTGCTGTAAATCAGCTTCTCAAACGATGTTGTTAGTGCTTGTTGGATTTGTGGTTCAGAAACGGTGAAGTTTTCAAATGCTTTGCAAACTTCTTAAAAAAAAGTTATGAATTTGATAGTACTGCTCAAGCAAAGCTATCACTAAGCAACACATGGATTTTTATTTTGGTGCCACATGGAGTATTGACGTGCCCTAGAACTATCCATCTCGCCCTCTCCAATACACTAATTGCTAACACCAGTCTAAAGAAAACAACTTAAATGTTTTGTGGCAGTGTTACAAATCCTGCTGCTGACAGCTTTAAAATGGTGGCGATGCCACAGCATCTGTGCTCCCAATTCTGGTCAGAGTCTATGATAGAACATCACTGATGACATTAAAAACAAATTATCCAGCCTTGCCAATAACAGTGAGAAGAACCAAGGGAGTAACATGCTCATTGTCATCTACAAAGAGGAAGAGTTAGCTGGGCTCAGTTTCATCCCACAGTGTTTCATGAACTGAACTTTTGCTGTTTTAACCATGACCTTTCAAACCTGCAATTGATATATTTGTTGAAAATAAAATCTTAACAATTTATCACTGTGCTCCTGGAAGTAGAAATTATAGAATCCCTACATTGTGGCAAGAAGCCATTCAGCTCATCAAATTTGCACTGATCCTTTGAAGAACATCCCACCCAGGCCCAGCCCCCAATCCTATCCTCATAACCCTACCTTGACCATGGTCAATCCACCTAACCTGCATATCTTTGGACTGTGGGATGAAACCAGACCACCCACACAAACACAAGGAGAACATGCAGACTCCACTCTGACACTCATCCAAGGTTGGAATCAAATCCAGGTCCCAGGCGCTATGAGGCAGCAGTGCTGACCACTGTGCCACTGTTGCACCTGTGAAATTCATTAGGACGGATTTCAATTTGAATTTGAATTGATGGCAAGGAGGTTTTCCTGATAGGAGAAGTGACTCCTCACCGTTTTGAATTAAGAGAATAGTAACATCCTTCCAGATGCTGGGAGCACAACAGATAAGTGCTAATGGATCCACATCCCTGCATGGGCTGCAATGCTGAAGCTCTGGCAAAGGTGGGGAGCTGGTGAAGTGGTTAGTGTCTCAGCGGTGTGTTCAGCATGGGAATCAGACACTGCAGAGATTTCGATAGAGGATGCAGTGAGCGTGGCAGTGACTGATCGATTTGAAACCTCAGAATTGTTAAACTCCTCAGATACTGTGCTAAGCGCAATGTTAATTAAAACACAGGGACTGCAGCCTGGGTCCCTGGCATCATGCCATCTCATTCACTTTTTAAACAGCAACTGAATGAATGGAACAGGGTATTGTTGGGTCCACAGAGGGCTGCCTATCTAATAAAGTCATCCCCTCCCTCTCCCTTATGGGAGTTTTAGGCTCATTAACATTCAGATGGGATTTTGTTTAAAATATTAACCTAGAAATTAAATTAAAAGGTAAGAGAAATCATCCTGTAGAAAGCTTCAATTATACAGCTCTTCAAATAAATCTCTCATAAACCTTTCACAAGGATCTTAAACGATTCCTAAACAGCGGTCCTCCTCCCAAAGGTTAATGGGTGTTTCTTCACAATCTACTGTAGCCAATAAATCTGTGACAATTTTCATTTGGTACACTGATGAACTGGGTCCAGATCCTGTTACAAAACACACATAGCTGCTGCCCTTTCCATCATGATATTTTAATTACAACATGTCCAAAAAAAAGTTGAGTTTTTATTTGCTACAATGTCAATTAATGTCTCTCAGCTGGAGGTAACATGTTGCTGTGGACTCCCTTACACAGGAATTGGATGAAACATATGAAAACTTAATTCACTCTGTATACTTGGTAGGCACCAAGGGGACCACATCGTAGGATGTACTAATCCAGTTCACAGCAGTTAGGAAACAGTTTTAGGTCATCTCGTTCTCCATAGGTGGTACCATCTTAAATAGCCATTCTGATTAAAGTGACATTGATGTTTTTAATCATTCCTTTACCATTAAATCTGATTTACAATGATGTGTTCTTGCACTGTTACAGCCGCTTTCTCTATCCTAGGAACATAGGGGAGCAAAATAGACCGTTCGGCAACACGGGCTTGCTCTGCCATTCAGTCAAATTACAGTTGATACTTCTTTTTGACTCCCAGAGAGGAAAAAAAAATCTGGAGCATGCTGGGTTTGGGAACAAGTTAATAAGTTAATATCATACAATGGTGTGCAAGGTCTCCATATAAATGGCCAAGTACACACCAAAGTTACACTGAGGATGCGGGTGGGGGAAATGTAGAGCAGTATTAAGTAATTTACAAAATAAAAGTTCAAAAACTTTGAACTTCCCCTTTAATTGCAATGTAAATCAATTAGGTGGCTGCTAAGGTCACAGAATTTTTGGGCATAAGTAAATCATCTTCTCGGGTATAAAATGCCTCAATCTTTTACGATCAATTTTCCCACTCAAATAAATTTCTGCCCTTAAAATGGATCATGCCTTGAAATTGCAGCACCTTCCGCGTGAATTTCCTGCAGTGTTTGCTCAAAGCCTTTCTTCAAATTGCGAGCAGATTTTTGGGTGAAGCGAGAAATAAGCCTTTTTATGAGTTTGTTGCAATTGAGTCTTTTTCTAAAGTTTGTCCTCACTGAGATTGTCTTTATTGTCTCTTACTTGCATTTTACGGCGCAAATGCAAGTGGCATTAAAAATTCCAAAAGGTTCTTCAATTGCAGGTAATTAAACACGTGACTAGAGTGCATAAATGAGTTGAAACGTTATTTTTCATTCAATGGGTTTAATGCTTTATCTTGAGCCCTTCCTGTTTATACTGATTTACACCAACTTTATAGTTGGGCATATTCTCAGAAGATTCACAGGAAATTTGAGAATAACTTGACCTTGGCAAAATAGGTGCATTTTCAAATCTAGCTTCCAGAATGCACCAAGCAAATAGCAGATAAGGGTCTGTACAATAGTAAAATAAAAACCCTAGACTGCTTACAAACACTAAAATCCTCTTATTCAATGAGGATTTGGCTAAAGATCAATGAATAAAACTGAATCAATAATTTCCAATCAATTCATTTATTGCTACATGCATGTTCTATGAAAAAAAATCAATACAATTCTGTAAGACTTAGGAATGTCAGAGATCTTGAGGGGGAGTTTCCCCTGGGGATTTAATGATGAAATTGTGCTTGAAATTACACTTGCTTGCGCACTCATTAAGATGATGGTACATTTATGCAAATCAATATATGACACTGCAGGGATGCAGGCCATTTGGCCCATCATGGGTGTGCATATTATTAGCATGTGCTAGTTTGTAAAATTGGGCTTAAATCAGTGGAAACAATTGGGACCTGAGGGAAGCACAGAACTCGGACCATATTTCTTTAGGAATAAAATTTTGAGTTTGAAGCCATGTAATCATTAGTCACAGACATTAGGCACAGCTTGTTTAAAGAACTTGCAATTGGGGAAGCTTTCCAGTTTTTAATGTCACACATCTTGATGCCACAAAACACATTCAAAAAAAACCATTGCAGATCTCAATGAGGATAAATTTAAAAATTGCAGGAAAGTATCAGAATTAAGCCTTCATTTCCTACTGCGCCAAAAATTCTAAGAATAATTTTAAATCCGCTCTAAAACAGTATAATTACAGGAAATTAAATTAAGGATGCATCCACTATAATGAGCCAAGAAGTGGAGTATTTTCACCCAAGGACACACGTAATCAGGACATAACACAAATACCTGGCATAAGTGAGTGAGGAAATTTGGAAATAACCATTTAGCATCCGAGTGTCCTCACTATTTTGCATTACCTATCCACTTTTTGCCTATTCAGGAAGGTCCACTCATTTGATCCTAAATCTTTTCATTATGTATTCTGTTTCAACAACAAGCTTCAGTTCTTGTTTAATTATTTTGTTTACAGCTATTGTTTTAAATGATACTTTTTACAGCATGGGAATGTGAGGATCTCTTTACACTAATGGTAATAAAAGAACTCAACTTGCTGCATGAGCTTGCAAGAGATAGTCTCTATTTGAATGAGATCCCTTTGGGATATCACACTGCAACGCCAGTGCAAGGCTACTTATTTCCATGAAAACCATTACAGTACTAATATTGGCTGCAATGGAAGACAGTAGTTTATCTAATGGACCAGAAACATAAAATGTTTTTCATTATGCTCTTGCACAATATTTATTTAAAACTATTGTTTTTAATCATTTGTGTTGGCTACATGACATAATCCACCAGTAATTCATGTCCTGTTCGCTGGTGTCAGCCAATGTTTGTTGCCCCTCCTATCTCCAGTCACTCCATTTCAATTATAAAGCAACAATTAGCACTATTTACAGATGATTTTTGAACTAATCACATTTTTTTAAAAAAAAACATTGTAATAACAGTGTCTTAATTATACATGTTCGATGGTCACAACTCACTTAATGCCTCAGGATTCATGCACCCAAGAAAATACGTAGAATTCGCCTGCCTGTGGCAGCAAAGTGTAAAATGACAGTGATAGAAGAGCTCTGTGGCCACTGTGGAAATAAGTACCTTAATCAGCAACAGCTACTGTCACTGTAGCTGGATTTTGAATGCTATCTGTTACATTTTTTGTCCAATAAGACAGTTTTGCTCACATAGTTTGGTGCTCTGGTCATGGATAATGAATAACAATGAGGCAATCAAACAAACCATGAAGAATGAAGGAAAAAAAGATTTAATAACCAGTTAATTAAAAGCTTTGTGAAAAATAATTGCAATTCTGCTATGAAAGATGGATCATCAATTTCTGGTAGACATTTTCAAAGTCTTCCCCAGTCAAATAGTATGGCGAAGGTTTCTGGAAATCTGTGAAGAAGGGCATAAAGAGGCACAGAGCACAACAATGATCAACATTCGTTTTAGTACAACTTTCAAAAAGACATCACAGGCGAAGTTTTCTGATCCTATACCTGAGCATATTATATCAGGCACAGAGAATTGACGTTAACCAAATGGGGTGGATTTTAAATTGAAGTTCTTCCTTACTGACCAATCACTTTCCTTTATTTGCTTCACCCATACATAGCAGGAGAGAGTCCAGAAACAGGGAAATCCACCCCGATCGAACAAAATCTGAACTTGGTGAACCAACCAGACACACTACTCAGCATCATCCAGATTCAAATATAGACCTCAATATTTTTCAGGCAATTCATCTATTCCCACTAGAAACGCTGACATTGTCTACATCCAACTCAGAACCTAAAGGAAAAGTTGCTGGAAAAGCTCAGCAGGGCTGGAAGCATCTGTGAAGAGAAATCAAAGCTAACGTTTTGGGTCTGATGACCCTTCCTCAGAACCTGACCCCAACCAGACCCAAAACGTTAACTCTGATTTCTCTTCACAGATGCTGCCGTACCCGTTGAGCTTTTCCAGCAACTTCTGTTTTTGTTTCTGATTTACAGCATCCGCAGTTCTTTTATCCAGAACCTAAATCATTTGTCTTAAATCAGTGCTTCTCAATCTTTTTTTCCCAATGTGCCCATTCTTCAGAGATTTCAAAGGGAAAGGAGAATAGATCTCAGAGCAGGGTCGGGCAGGGGATGTGTTTTAGGGGCATGGTATGAATTGTGAGAGTCATAAATGACTATTAGTTTGTTTGTTTTCTTTTTTAAAAGAAACACAAGCTGTTGCTCACAGCTCAAAGGTCATCTTCAGCTCAGTTCACAGCTCGAAACTAAAAATGATAAAATATAAAGAAAAACAGCGAGAGTTTTGGTGATGTGGAGTAAAGCTGCAAGGGAGGGCCGTGAGAGCAAACGGAAGTAGAATTGTGAGAGTTGCCGGGGGCGGACAGGGGGGTGGTCGGGGTTGCTGGAGAAGAGGTTGTTATTGTTTTGCACCTACCATTTTGCAGGCTCTGTTGAAAGAAGGTGCAGGGCCTTGAAGGAGGGTCATTACTCCACACCCACAAGACCAAGGCAAAAATAGAATTCACATGCACACACATTAAGGGGCTTCGGTGCTAATCCCAGGGCTGTTCCATTTTGTGGTCAGTCCTTGGTCACAACTGCTGCTGCAGAGGCATGGGAGCTCGCAACATCAGCTGCTTATCTTGTGACCTCACAGGGAGATCACAGCCTGTGATTTGGGGATGCCCCATCTTAAATCTCAAGAAAATGTAGTGCAGTATAAAGTCAGTGCAAAACCTTGTCCAAAAATACCATCGGATCTGGTACCCTTTAATCGAGGAAGTGCTGACAGCCCCAACACAGAATTTTCACAATTACGAATGAGTTCAAGGCAATCCAAAAAGCAGTAAGATAACAGTCACAACAATAACTCAGATCCAGCTGCTCAGGCCTATTTGATATCCGATCGCGTGTGCAGCTTGAAATTTGATCTATCATCAGATTTATTCCCCACTCTAATCACAGCAGCAGGACTATTGGATCATTATCTCACTACTGCAGGATCCAGAGCCTAAGTATTCTAGTGGAAATCTACTGTAGTTAGAGTCAATTTAGTGGTTGAGTAAACCCTTTATGCTGGTAACAATCAACTGTAATCTTGTACTTGAGGCTCATTCATTCAGTATCAACCTTGAGGGAAGTTACAGAGATATTATCTACTCTATTTGGTAAAGTTTTGAAGTAATTTGTGGTATTTTACTATTCAATGTATTTCCAAACTACCAAGTAATGCTATTTATATGCATAAGTGGATTTGCTGGATAATGAGACTCTTTCATTGTCGTTTCTAGTCTGCACCACTTTTGGAACAGGCTGCTGTTAAAAAGGGACTTCACTAAAATTCTTTTATTAGTAAATTTAGAAAGGCAATTTCTCACTGCATTAAAGTGTTGACTTAAGCTCCAACTTGTAGCTTGTTCTGAATGCTCTTTAGCTTAACAGTTTGAGAAATTACGCAGTTTGATTTTAATTTTCAAATGAAGCAAATGTTCTTAAAATTATGTAATGAGCTAAATTTGTTCAAAATGATTCACCTTCCTCTTGATAACTGGTAGATATCACTTGGTTTTTATATTTGTTACTGCTGGATTATAAGTACTCTAATTTAATTAGGTTCATTGCCAAACCAATTTGATATAAGAGCAATTGAATCATTTTAGTAATCAGATCTGCTAAACCTGTCTCTAATTAACAACTACTGTTCTGCTCTAATAATGATCAAAGACCTGCCTCTTCAAGGGGGCATTGACTATTTCTTTTAGACCTATTGATGTCTGAACGTTTGAATGGTTTAGCACCAATGTACATATCCAAAGGAATTTCAAAAGTGCAATCAATTTCTGCAGGTAGAGTAGACATTGTTTCAGTTGTAATTGTACACTCCCCAATGCAGATGAAAATCAGGCATGTATGCTTTCAGCTCACCAGTTGTAAACTATTTGATTTAAAAATCAATACTCACGTAAATTTCTGCCCCATAAAACCCATCCTGGTAAACAACTCTGCAAAAAATAGGAAGCATAGTGAATTATCTTTTGCATATTTGATCGTAAAACATCTGCCATTAAACCTGGGTACAATCAGAGGACAGTACTCCACAAATGAGCAAACCCATCAGCTGCAGCGTCCAGGCTACATTCACACCAAGACAACAATGCATGCATTTCTTTGTCAAATTGAGCACTCCTTAAAATATACAGTCCCCAGAAGGCATGTAAGAGTTCAAAATGATCAAGTAGCTGAGATTTTTATATTTGGTTTTCAACCTGTTGTGGATGTGATAACCGACCACACAAAGGTCTCAGTTTGGCAGCTCTTGACTAGAGAATGACATTCTCCAGGCTGTGCAGGAATTTGTGCTCTTACAGTTACAGTGCACAATGGGAAGATTTCTGAGATTTTCATACAAAAGCTGCAGCTTAAATTCTAAATGCCTGAAGGTACTTTATAATCATGGCTTTTTCTCTTCACCTCCCCAGTCCTATCCATAAAAAAACCTCTATAAATCATGACTATGTACCACTAATTCACAATTGTATGCCGTTCAATGGAGAAATTTGCAGAAACATGAGACTTTGCCTGTAACAGCAAAATAAAGCCCTGCCAACTCGATTTGTAGGATTGATGGCATGCATATTGTCCCGACTCCCTGGCTGGATAAGGATCCCTACTGGTAAATTTGTACTTCTATAGACTGAGGGGTTGCTTTTTGCAGCATGGTGTTGCAGACTAATGTAGAAGAGATGAGATGTGTGCCAAGAACAAGGTCAAAATGTAGCTTTCTGTGTATGACAGGAATTATATACAAAGTGCTCATTTACTAATAACAACAAATTGTTGACTGAAAGCTGATCTCCTTGGAAATTGTGCAAGGAATATATTATTTGGGATTGGGCTCATTTTTCACTGATTTTCTTTACAGATTTTCTCACATTTTAGATTATATATGGAGCATCAATAATAAATATCAGCTGATCTTAAGATGTTTGATGGAGTTGAAGCACATTTGCAGTTCTTTTTATATCCTAGTGACAGCTGAATTTTAGAAAATGCTCATCTTGCTTCCCTTTCAGAAGATATGCCATGAAGCTTAGCAAAGCTAATGAGAATTTGTCCACATGTGGATACATAATTTTTTTTTAGCTAATTACAGAATGTAACTTTTCAGGGAAAAAAAAGTAACATTCAGGAATAGTCATCTCAAATGAGAATGCTGTGCTGGAAAAAGTAATTTAATCCCAAGAGACCATTTTTAGCAATTGGTCAATAGAGCCCAACTTGCCAGTTAGAACATGAAACTTTATACCAATCGCTACAGGGACATAGGAGCAGGCCATTCAGTCCCTCCAGTCTGTTTTACATTCAATTAAAATATGACTGATCTGTTCCTTGCTGTATTGACTTATCTTTACTCCTTTAGAGTTCCAGTTTTCCACTAATCTTTCTTTAAAGTAATGAGTTTTTTTGGTTTAACCCCTATATGGCTGAGCTCTTATTTTAAAATTATGTTCCCTTGTTCTGGATTCCTCCAGCAACGAAAGTAGTTCCTCTGTATGTAGCTAAACAGATCTAATTATTATCTTCTAAAGCTCAATTAGGTCACGCTTTAATACAAGAGACTGCAAAATAACTATATGCCTATTGTATACATAATTCACCACTTGGAGAATTTCACTTCATTGAATCTGTGGAATACCATCTCCAAGGCCAGTCTCTCAATCCCAAAGGGGTGACATCCAGAACTAAACACAGGAGGAACCACCAGAGTAAGTGCACTTCTCTATTCTTTCATCCAATCTTTAAATGGAGAAGAGTACGGATAGGGGTATCAGCTGTGGTAACATAGTTGCTTCCTGTTTTCTAAGGTTTCATGTTCAACTTCCATCCCAGAGTTTGTGATGTTTCTGGTGTGGTAATGCAGGGGTGCTGCACTGATGGAGATGCTGTCAGGTGAGAGAATTTTGTGGAACAGTAGTAGTGCCCCTACCTCTGGTGCAATAGATCCAGTTTTAAGTGCCATCTGCCCTAGGTGTTTTTAACCAACCTGTTCAGACATGCTATGACATGCCTCTGGAACAGCTGGGACTTGAACCCAGGACTTCTGGATTAGAGATAGGAACACTAACACAATACCACAAGAGCCCCCTCCATTTGTCCCTGACATGTATCATAACATGCGTGAAAAGGTTGATTAAAAAGTACCTAGAAGAGTCAGAGGAGGGCTGAGGAGGAACATCAGTTGTCACGTCGATAGAAAGGAATGATTTCCATTGGTGATTGCATCCAAAGCGTTACAGGATAGCCTTTAAAATAGTTAGGCTGCTCAGGGGTCAGCAGCATTTCTTCACACAAAGGATGAAGGAGGAATATGTATGGAGATTAGGTCACTTGATTTATTCAAGGTTGAATTAGATAGATGTTTGATAGAGAAGGGAGTCAAAAGTTATTGGTGAAGACAGGAAAGTGGAATTGACACCACAGCCAGATCAGTCATGATCTTAAAGAATGAGCTTAAACCAGGTGAAACAAGGGCGAAATGGCCTGCACTTCCTCCTAAATCCTTTGTTTCGACAAAGATAGCGGAAATTGGGATCTAACTTTCCCAAGAAACTCTTATTCTACGTCAACTGAAAAGTGTCAAAACTCAAATTGACGGTGGTTGTTAAAGAAGAGCTTTAATGCTCACAGAGGAAAGGCATATAAATGGAGCTAAAATACAGATCAGCCATAATCTAACTGAACTGCAGAAGCTGCTTGCTCCCAATTTCTATGCTTCTGCGAACATGCACAAAGGAAACCTGAGGCCAAGTCAAGATTCCTGGGAACGCTATTTGTATCAACTTGTCAATCAGCAAATGTTACCTTCATCTCAACTTTGTGTCCTCTAGCTCCTGTTCAATCACCAAACCAATTCATAATATTGTAGATTTTTAGTTTTATTTATTGTGTGGAAGGCTATCAAATTATTGATGCAATTTCAAATAATCAAACATTGGATACCTCTCCTATCCACTGTGCGGGGCCTAACCAAAGCATTGACTGGATCAGCCAGACATGGTGTACCCTTCGCAAATCTAAATTGGTTCTTTTTGCACAGCTTATACTTGTTCAGTTCCTCAGTCACTCCGTCGCTAATGACAGGTACTTGTAACTTTCCTTTAGTTGATGCTAAACTGACTAGTCTGAGACTACTTGGCTGCTCTTTCCTTAAATCATGAAGTTTAATGAGCAATTTTCCAACTGAGGAGTGCAATCTCTGAACTGATACAGCTTGGAGAATTGTGACTTAAGTCCCCACCAAGAACCTGGGTGGAAACTGGAAAATCATACATCTGATCAATTTTTCCCTTATAATCTGTGAATATATAAACTAAATTCATTAAATTTAATTCCTTGACATCTTAAAGTTCCCTTGTACTGTTGCTATATTGCTTGCTTTTCCAGGCAATAGATGATATTGTCCATTACATTCTCACCTACGCCTGTCTTTGTCAATTTCTATTTAATATATTTGTAAAACTTTTTTGAGTGTAGATATTCCTTGCAAGATTTTCAGATTCTCTTTCAATAGCTTTTATTCTTATTTGCATCTCTTTGTTGTTTTTAAATAGCTTTCCCAGTTTCTGGATTTCCATGTACTTCACCTTGTATCTGTAAAGCCCTCCCTGTTTAACTTGTCAAATTACTCAGCCTGTGCAAAAACGACAAGTCCTCAGAGTGAAAGCAAATTCCTTGCTCCTCAGTTGCAAGGAATGTCAGAGCTGATGCTCTAACTGTAATATTGAAGCTACCAAGTTATCATTTTACCGATTCTAGTCACACTGAAATGTCTGGGTGAGAATAACTGGGAATAGTTTAATTTAAAGCTTGCAGGTTAGGTCATATCTATTATAAGTATTTCATTTATTACAAGTTCAATCTATCCAGTAAATGATTTATAAAACGATTAAGTTGATTCTGAAGTACAAGTTTGTAATCATGCATCCAGTTATCTAATGCAACCTTTGAGAAAAAGACATGAGTGCTTGTATTCCTTTATTTTTGTAATGGTCACAATAAACTTAGAAATTAAACAAAGTGAGAGAATGGCTTCATAACTTGCACTCACATTTCTGGTAAAATAAACAAACAGAGGACAAATCAAATGCTAATATCTATAGTCCCTCCTCTAGACAATCAGCAAAATGCCACAGGGTAATGTTGAAAATGGACCAATTCCATGTTAGTACAATTCAAATCAGGGGTGTGCACGTGTGTGCGTGTGCACGTGTGGTAGTGGGGGTGCTGGTGAGGGGCGTGGGTGGGTGTTACTTAGTGGAAGCAAATAATTAACCACATTTGTGGTGCAAAATAGGAACTTCAAATATAAATTGAGGTCAAATAAATTTTCCTATTAAAATTTTAATTAAAATGCAATCCAATTATACATCTCTGCTGCATAAAACAAATAATCTTTCAAAAGCAAATTTGCCCTCTATATCTCACATTAACCAAGTTGTAGTGGCTCACTTCAACTTTCTTACAGCGTCATTTAAAGTATTTTCTCCCATCAGTTTTTTTGTTTAATTAGTAGCAACATTTATTGCTTATACCCTTTTTTTAAAAATTAGGAAGTATACCCTTGTTCAAAGGTTGCACAGCTCTCAAAGGCCACAGCAACAGTGAGGAGGGAGTGATTATAACCACTAAATTATGGGGAATTTAACATTAAGGCCTAGGTTAATGACTAGAGTTGAGATTTATTTGTTTTAAAGTGTAGGAAAATTGCAAGCCCTTTTTTTGATACATGGTCTTACAATTTTACCACACATAATGTACTGTGGAAATCTTTCCCAATAGAAATGTCAATTTTCTATTATATTTTGCCACTTCCAAGTAAAAGAGCTTATTCAGACAAAAACAGAACAACTTAAGAGTTGATATTCTTGTGTTGATTCAAATACTTGCTCCTTACATAACTTGTCTGTTTCACTCACTGGTGAAACAGCACAAAGGGAAATAACCCCATCTCTTCATCATGAAAGCTTAAACGCAGATACAAAACACATCATTTGTGACTTGCAACACTATATTCTAATACTACACCAAACAGCCATGATTGAACTGAAAACAAGACTCTAATCTTAATGCTAACAGAACAGACCTGAAACATCTATCACTGCATGTCTATTATTTAATATACACTGAGGAAAATTAAATTCTTCGAAAGCATTTTGCACAGGGCACATGATAGTGGGCCATAAAAGAAAATCTGCCAAGTCTAGAATACTGACAGTTTTGTGCTGATACTCACGCTCCGTACGTGGGGATGGGTGGTGGTGGGGGTGCAGCGCGGAAGGTGTTGTAAACAGCACGACCTCGCCCCCGTAAATGAGCTCCTCTGTAGGCCACAGCTGCTCCAGCCCCTGGGTATGGAAAACCAGTCACTATAGACAGAGAGGAAAATCAGGTTTACTAGATTGCCTTGCATTCATTACAGCTCAATTAGAAGCTAAATTGATTAAGTGTTTCATATGAGCACTCATTTGATTGATCTCATTATGCAACATATTGCTCACAATGATGTAAAACATTCTTCACAAAATGTTTCTTAGAAGTTGCAACTCTCTAGTGTTGCTCAGGTGCCAACTGACATGAAAAAGTCCTTTACAGGCTCATGAAAAACGAATGGCCACCAATGGTATGGGGAAAGGACAAAAAAAGGGAGACTGAATGAATAAGTGAAAGGACATGTCACAGAGTATTCAGAAGGAGGGAACATGGTTGAGCTGCTGAAAAGGACGGTGAGGGGCTACAAGAGTAGTCAGGAATGGTCAAGCAGGGAAAAGAAAGGACTAGCTTGGTATCAAGAGGAGGCATTCAGCATTGGAGAAGATTGCTGAGGCAACAAAAGATTTGAAACTGTGAAGGTTCATTAGATCAATTCACTGGGGCTTAAAGAGAGCCGGTGAAGATATGGACAATGAAAATATCAGCCACAGAGTGCTGCTGTGAACATATCCCAGTGTTTTGGATGAGTTCAAGGTTGCACACTATGAAGATCTTCAGGTGAGTACTGGAGAAATTTACCTGGAGATAAAGGCTGGAATCAGAATTTTGGGGGCAGAAAGGCAAAACAGCATGCTAAGGAAAGAGAGGTGGTAGCAGTGATAGAAAAAATAAGGGGCTGAAGAGCTTAGGAATGAGCAGTACAAGTTCCAGCCCTCTGCACTTAACCTAAGGTAGAAGTCATATCCATGGAGTTGAGGCTGGGGAATCACAATTCACATTGTAAAAATTGTATAAAACACATGAACACAAACTACACAACAATGGAGAAAAAGTTTGAATTTGTGTGAAACATTCAAATACTAAGGATTCTGCTGTTCATTCATTTAAAATCCCTCAAGCCCTGTGTTGCTCACTTTCTTCAGGTGCCAATAAATGCAGTAATCTTTTTGATAGCTAAAGTGATTAATCCCTGCTGAAGTTGATGCTGCTTAGCTAACTTATGCCACCTCCACCAAAATTCAAACAGTCATTGCAACAATTGCTGTAAATATCCCCTTGAAGGTACTTTATTGCCGAGTTTAACAATTTCATATTTAAATTAACTGAAATGGAGCAGCTAACCTAACCTAATTTTTTGACCCTTTTCCAGAAAACTTAGTAACAAAGCCTTTAACAGGAAGATTTAAAAATGAATAAATTTGGATTCTTTTAGGCAAAAGGAAGGAGCAGGAAGGAGCAGAGAAAGAATATAATATAGACAGGTTCAATGTAGCTTTCTGGTCCTCCTAGTTTAAACACCCATCTACAATTACAGCAGAGAGCTGGTGGAGATAACGCGGCCATCTACAGCACTTGCAAACTCGACTTTTAGGAACACGACTGGATTTTCTGTTGTGAATGGGAAATTTTTCAGACTTAAATGAGTTATGCGTGTCAGTGTTTCTAAGTAAAGTGAAATCTGACCAAACCTTGTGTCACTGTGTCCATCTAACAATGTGCCCGTGATGTAAATTTGACTAATCATATAGATTTTTGTTTATGCCACCACTGTGGTTAGAAAATCTCTTTGCACATCTTCAGGCCCATAATCAGCGAGTAAGAAATAAATAAAAAGCACAACAAGACTTGCAGCCTGCCTTTCCTGGGCTAGACTGCCAGGAGTGAAGGGCTAGAAAGGGCCTGGGTGCTGTAACTTAGATTCCAGGCTGCAGAAACAACAGTCATTACGCACCAATAATAACTGACTAGTGTAATGAAGGAAACAAAATCCCAACCGTGCATGTTAATGAAAGCATTCAGCTCAGCCCCAGCAACTGAAAACACTTCAGTTTATCTTTACAGAACATAACAAAATATATGAGACGTCTGACAGGAGTGTGTGTGCTTTCACTGATAATTTATAATTCACTCAAGGAAAAAAAATACAAATGGTTCAACAGTGTGGGCTGCATTCGCGGACATGTTTAATTCTGAACTCAGCAGTGATTAATGAATAGAAGATGAGGCTGATCTTCTTTCATATGCATGGAAGACCTCACCACACTGGAGGTCACCAAATGCAACATCCTGCGACTTGTTCTGTCATTTAAAATAGAACTTGTTCTACAATTGTCAGCTCTTTTACCAATGCAACGATAGTTCATTATTTCACTTCAGTGGAAATAAAAATTGCCAGATGAAAAACAGGAGGAACTCTGGTGGTGCAATGTGTCATACACTGCCCTCTTAGCTCCAGGACCTCGATTCAAATTCAATCTAGCTTGAGGCAATTAAGGTCTGTGTTTGTTACCCATTAAGGTCCAAAGTTTGGGTGAAAACAATCAAGTCTTTACTAGCTTTGGCACCAAAGTTTTATTTAGCAATCAATCAGTCAAGAGACCATGGTACAGGTTAGTGTGGGCCCTTCTTCCTAGGGAAGGGAAAGGAAGGGTGAGCTAAATTGTTACAATAGAGGATAGGGGAGTTTTATTCTGTATCTAATCCATTTGGCCTTCTCCTAGAATCAACAGCCTAAGGCCAGGGGACGGGACGAGGTGGGGGGCGGGTGTGGAGGGAGGGGTGGTTGGTGGTGGTGGTGTCTTGTCTTCCGGGAGTTGCTGGCCAATCAAAGGTTGCCAGTTTTTGTGTTCAGCGGCACCATTGGGAAAGTTGTGGCTAGTGCCAGAAGGACGGACTTTGGAATCCCAGGTTTGGGGAATGACCCATGTATCAGGTAAATAATGTGGGGAATTGACTGGGAGGGGCTCACAGGGAGGGACTTGAGGCTGAAAGAAGGGGTCCAGAGTTAAGTCACGCTCATATCTCATCATGATTTTCTACGTCAAAGCTCCATCCAAAGTATTCAATGAATTCTGTACAATGAGAACGGTCTCAAGTATACAAGAACACTGATTATAATATGAGGCCTTTTTTTCAAACACTTGCTTTAAACACCTTCTAGGACAATCCGTAACAATACTTTTCCTCACAATGAGCATATCTAGAAAATTCCAAACTGAGACTTCAAAATGAAAAAATAGTTGAGCCTTAGAGGGGACACTTCTGCTGAGTCTTACTTCTAGGAGAATTTTAAGTCCATTCATTTAGACTGCTTTTCCAATTTTGTTTGAAAATAGTGACTTTAGGAAATTATCACCTACACACTACCGTAATAACCACCAACGTTCGCAACATCTCACCAGAAAAATAAATCGAAGGACTTCAGAATTTGCTTGAGATCCTACGACCACATTCAGACACCACAGATACTGTAAATGGCACAAATAGTCTGGGATGGGTCCCTGTGGAATTCCTCGAGCATCTTGCAGCTGTGTATAGAACTCCAGTTTCCCTATCGATATTTTAAATTGTTGGAATTAATGGGTGGAATCAACTGTTTTCATTGGGCATCCCACCTGCTCATTCAGTAGGTAATGAGCCCCTGGTCGACTCTTCAGAACAAAGCCCAACATATCTTTTACCAGTCGGGCAGTTTCAAGGGCACCAGTTAGCCTTCTTCTGAAATCAGGTCTCCAAGGATGGAAGCTTTGTCTTTTGAGAGATGTCAGCCAACACAGACCAGCGTTTCATGCACTGGCCATTGCCATGAATAATGCCATGGTGGTTGCTGGAAGATAATCCAGGAATGATAAGACAAGTGGGGAAGATAATGATTTATGGGGGGTAAGTGTTTCTGGTGTTAGAGGTCACAGGAAAGAGGGTGGTAAGGATCCACAGGTAGCAGGGGCTGGATCTCAGCAGGCACCCGCTGCTGTATGTCCATGCCTGAAATCGTGTATAATTTACTGTAGATTGAGGGAGCCGACCCCACCCCCTCCACCCGCCATTCCTGAACTGACAGACAGTTCAGACTAGTTTACCAGTGAGCTAGGCCACCTCTTATTTGTCCCAGAGTCAAGGCTGGAACACACCGTTAGGTAGTCCTTTTACAGTCATTATTTGGCCATTTAACGACTTCAGTTGCAGGGAATATGTTCAATCACAAATCTTCCTGTTTAGAACTTAATCTTGGCAGGGTTGGGAAGGTGGCAGGGCTCTGAAATGCCACTACCCTGCTTAATTAAGTTACGTTTCAGTCTGTGGGCCCACTACCTCCAGGACCAGAAGTTTTCACTTGGTAACGTTCTAACATTAGGGAAGACTCAGCAGAACATCAGCTTGCTTGCAACGTTCAATGTCTATTGTTGTAGTGAATTTAATTATGTCCTTTTCTCTCCAGTCTAAATTCTGAGAGAACATCCTAGTGGAGGGAATCTTACACTGTGCAGGTGTTTTCCAGAATCACACGGGAACCAGATCTACTTATTAACGTGGGAGCCTGATTCTGCAGTTCTGCTGCCACTTTGTCCATGCCCATTCATTTGGAAGTAATAATCATGATTATATTTATAAGTACATCATGAGAGAAAACTAGCAAGAAATATAAAAATAGACAATAAAGCTTCTATATTATACATAAAGGAGAAATGTAGCAAAAATGAGCATTGGTGCATTAGAGGCTGAGACTGTGGAATTAATAATGGTCAAGAGAAGGAAACAGCAGAGACTGTTGGATACATATATATTATATATGCACACATATATATGTAAAATGATAAAAGACACAAAAAAAAACCAGAATGAAGCAATTTGCTGAAGGCAGGGAGGAACTTAAAATAATCATGCTTACTCGCGAAAAGGTACTCAGAAAATTAATGGAACTAAAGGCTGTCAAGTCTCTTGAACCTAAAGGTCTGCATTCTAGGGTCTAAAAGGGGGTGGCTGCAGAGAGAGGGGATGAAAAGGTTGTAATCTTTCAAATTTCGTGAGATTCTGGAAAGGGCCAAATGGATTGGAAAACTGAAAATGTAATTCTACTCTGAAAGAAAAGAATGAGACAGAAAACCGGAAGAAATAGGTCAGTCTACCATTGGAAAACTGCTGATATCTAATATTA